TTCTTCTGCAGATGGGAGGACTGTGGGGGCAGGCCCCGTGGAGACAGGGGGTGGAGAATGGGTGCAGTCTCATCAGACCTGGCCTGGGACAGAGCGGCCACCTGGCAGTCAGACTGGGCCACTAAGCAGAAGTCACCAGTGATGTTTTTGCTAGCCTGTCTGCTTGGCGCTTTGGAAATGTTCTCCTTGGTTCCCGTAGCCTGGCATGTCCTAAGGGGTCTGGCATGTCCCCTGGCATGTCCCCTGCTCTCTGGAGGGAGAGAGGAAGAGAAAGGGTCTGTCAGGGACCCAGGAGGAAGCCCATAGACAAAGTGGCTTCCAACCAGGAGAGATGGCCAGGAATGACAGCATGGTGGTGGGAGAGGGGCAGGAGGAACCAAGTACAGGCGGTCAGTGGAGGCTTCCCTGCAAGCAGGTTGATATTGGGTTGAGAGAGCATCAGATAGCAAGAGCCATTTGGAAGTGGAGTGGGGGGGCATTCCAGCATGGCATTCCAAAGCTGGGCCTGTGTGTTAGTTTGGGTAGACCAGGGAAACAAAATTGCAGACACTCATATGTGTATAAGAGGGAGCTTTATATAAAGAGTATTTTTACATTAAGAAAGCATCCCAACCCAGTCCAGATCAAGTCCATAAATCTCATATTAGCCCATATGTCTAATACCAATCTATAAAGTCCTCTTCAAACTCACAAAGCGCATGCAATGATGCTGAATGCAGGAAGATCACAGGCCAGTGAGTGGGAAGTCTTGTGGATCCAGTGGCGTTGTAAACATCTCATTGTTGGCAGGGAAGCGGGAGGCCTCCATGTGGCTTCTCTACCTCCAAGGCTCTGGCTGCCATCAGCCTGTGTCCATGTGGCCTGTGAACAAGAATGTCTTGCAGGGACTGAGCCTGCGTCCTGCCTCAAGAGAGCTATTTACCTCCGTAGTGCCTCCAAATGAGGTCATCAAGCTGCAACCTAACTGACAGGCGGAACTCCAGCCCTTCACTCTTAATCCTCTCAAATTGACAGCAGATTATACAACTACCACTGCCTGGGGAAAAGAGAAAAAAAAGGAAATTCTGTTGACTCCTTCACCATGCCATCAGGCACCTCAATGTCCTAAGTTCCACCTTTACTTGAGGTGACCCAAGCTCGGATCCGTCACAGTGCAGAGGGCTACAAGTTGAACCATCAGCCACTCCTCAGGAGAAAGATGAGGCTTCCTTCTCCCGTAAAGAGTCAGAGTCTCAAAGACTCACAGGGCAGCCCTGCTCTGTCTTGTTGGGTCAAGATGGGTCAGACTGGACCTGATGGTGGTGAGTGAATCCCACAGCTGCCACGTGAAAACCTGCTTCCATCTTTTCACCAGGAGCAGACAACCAGCATAGGATAGACCAGCATGGGAATTGTCAGTCACACACTGACGCACAGTTAAGAAATCTCTCCTCTGAAGCCTGCTAAGGCCAACAATGTGGACAGAGCTGTTCTGGAACAGAACTGTACAGGCAGGAGAATCTGTAGGGTGACACCCAGTGATGGAGTTACTGAAACAAATGAATTCAGATACGGCAAATATAAGCAAATCAATGTCACCCTCCTTGGAAGAAGTAGACTTGCTCCACTGGGTTCCCGAGGCTGCAATGGGTTGGAACCCTTGGCCTTCAGGTGAGCAGCCTGATACATAACTCTCTGCACCACCAGGGCTCCCGTGGAAGAAGTGGGTACAGCTCCAGCAAAGCATGTGGTGCACCCCAAAGCATGTCAGCATCAGCTCACTGGCTGTGAATTGAGGATATCTTCTTTCTGCAAATTATTTGGATCGTTTGCTCATTTCCCTTGTGGACTATTCATCTCTTTCTTATTGATCGAAAAGGGATTTTCATATAATTGCGAAACTAGTCTTTCCCATGCATTAGGCATTTTTTCCAAGCTTGTTTTTATTTCATTATTTTTAAGCATTTTTTACATATTCTCATGTACATTACAGTTCAGTGGTTTAAATATATTAAGAAGAGTTGTGCAATTATCAACACCATCAATTTTTGATCGCATACACCATTCTCGTGTCCATTGTGATTTTCCACCTGTTGCCCCCAGGCCTCCTGTCAAAAACCCTAAAGTATATTAATATAGTTACTTTCTTCATAGATTACTTGTCCCAGATTTTATATAAAGAAAATCATACCCCAAACAAAAATAACCCATCAGTGAAAAACAAAATAAAACACAGATAAACCACAGTCTAAAAGAAAGCAGAAAATAATAAACATTAAAACAAGTTAAAAGTGGGTCAAAAGGGACACAAGTGGTAAGCTGTTAAATTTAAAGCTATCTATATCTGAAGTAATTGACTTTTCAAAGCACTCTGTCTGAGGAAAAAGCTATTCACTTCTGCAGTCAATGATGTCCGAAGGAGTTCAATGTACGCTTAGCCTACGTGGGGGCCCTTCATGGATTTTGGGCTCTCACTGTCAGTCATAGCCTTCTGCAAAGAGGGTGCACAGAATTTAAGCTCTAATATGATTCCCACTTCTAATCTTGAATTTTATTATTTGTAATCGTTGGATCACACCAGCTAGTGTACTGCTTTTGTGTGAATATAGCCAACACCTTACTTAGATGAATGCTTGTTTTAAGACAGAGCTTTAGGAGCCCAGGCACTTTTTTCTGATAACCAGGCACCATCTGCTTTCTCCACTTGGCTATAGCACCCAAATCGCCAGTGATCCCTTCATAAAGGCAAGTATTGACCAAGCTTGCTTTTATTCTCTTTCCATTTTGTACGAGGCAGTGTCCCACACAGACAGCTTTGGTAAGTTTCGATCATGAGTGAATTCTGTGGATTATGTCAGGCTCAGGAAGTCAACCCGCCTTCTTGTGCTCATGTTCCTGTGGGGAATCATATGTTAGAACTACTTTGGCTCCAGTCCTACCCACTCTCTGTGCTTCAGCTCAGCCACGGCAATTGCCACAGATATGTTGGCCATTTCCAATATGTTTCTCTGGGCTTGATTCAAGGAGCCCTGGTGGAGTAGTGAGTTACTTGTTGGGCTGCCAACCTCCAGGTCAGCAGTTCAAACACACCAGACACTCTGAAGGAGAAATAGGAGGCTTTCTACTCCTGTAAAGATGTAGAGCTTGGGAAACCCCAAGGGGCAGTTCTACTCTGCCTTATATGGCTGCTATGTATCAGAATCTACTAGACGGCAGTGAGTTATTTATTGTTGAGAATTCTAAGTCCTTGGATATATCCAAGTACCTGCGATTGATCGCACACCTGTGTCACCACAGCCAATGCTGACCTTGCCACTTCCACCCGTCCCCTTCCCAGACCACATTCTCTTCCTGGGCTCTACATCTCAGAGGGGAAAGTTGGTTAAATCTTTCCAGAATTCTCTTCCTCTTTTATTCCCACAGTGCAATCTGCACCGGAGTCTATTAAATCTGCCATCTGATGACTTTTTCCCTCCTGTCCTCTCTCTCCATTTCCCCCAAAGGACTCAATCTCATCCCACTTGCATTCCTTCATGAGCTTCCTGGTGAATGTGTCTCTGTCCTGTCCTGCTCTGGTCCAGTCCCACACTGTAGCCAGAGTGTTCTGACGGGAAGAGGGCACTTCCTGACCTACCACACAGAAAGCAAACACAGTCACCCTAAGGACGGAGTCAAAGCTTCTGTAGGGTTTCCAGGGCTGTGCCTGCCTGCTGAAACCAGGGCTACAAAACAGTGGTGGCTCCCACGCGGGAGAGCCGCTCTGTGTGTGATCATCTAAAACCCACGCTCAAGCCCTAGCCCCCTGGTACCTGTGAATGTGACCTTATTAGGAAATTAGGTCTTTGCTAGATGCCATCGGGTGGAGGTGAGGTCAGACTGGAGTGGGGAGGGCCCTAATCTAATTTGACTTGAGTCTTTATAGCCAGAGGAGAAGAACAGAGAGACTGAGGGACGGCAGCCTTGTGCAGTCTGGGGCAGAGACTGGAGATACTCTGTCGCAAGGTCACCAGGAGCTGGCGAGCCAGGAAGGCTCTTCCCCAAGAGCACTCTGAAGGAGAAGGGCCTGCCACTGCCTGGGGTTCAGACTTTGGGGTGTTTTTGCACTGACCATCTTCTCTGTGGCCCTTTGTGATAGTGCCCACAGGGCATGAACAGCCCTCTCTCTTTCCTCTGCTGGGTCTGGGCTCGCACCCCCTGCACACCCCTCTGGCATCCTGCCTGGCCCTTCCATGCTCCTCGCTGACACCACAGCCATCTTCTCAGGGTAGGGATCCAAGTCCACCCTCCCACACTTTATACTTAGAAGTTTCTCCCAAGGGGCTCTGGTGGCTAGTGGACTACCCATTGAGCTGCTACCCATCAAGCCAGTGGCTTGAAACACCCCCCCCCCCCCCCCCCCCCCCCCCCCCCCCCGCCCTCCCAGTCTCCTGGTGGGAGAAAGATGAGGCTTTCTGCACTGTAAAGATTGTAAAATCTCAGAAACTCACAGGGGCAGTTCAATGCTGTCCTATAGGCTCACTGTGACTCAGACGGACTTGATGGCAGTGGGTTTTGGGGTGTGAGCAACGTCTCCACTCTTCCTCTGCGCCTGGTGGCCCTGTGTCCTTTGAATTCAGCTCTTAGTGTCCCCCCTCCCACCCCCCCAGAAGTTTTCCCAACTCCCGGCCAGGCTCACAAAGTCCCACGTGGGCAGCCGTCCTGTGACTGCCCTCTGGGTGTGGTGAGCCTGGGGTGCAGTCCACTGGAACCTCCTAGGCTGTGAGTTACCAGAGGATGAGAACCGGCCACCTTCTGCACAACAGCTGCAGGACCCAGTGCGCGGGTCACAGCTTGGTTTTTTATAGAGCCCCTAAATCCCGCCCTTGGATCTACACCGTGGCTTGCAGCAGCCCTTAAGGAAGGATGGGGTCAGGCTGGGAGGCTGCCTTGTCCTCTTTCCCCAGTTAGCCCCCACACGGACCCGGGGCGCCTGCGGCGCGGGGGGACGTGGCTGACCTTCTCCCTGGCCATCCCACCCGTGGTCAACACCGCCTGGACCGGGGCCACCAAGACAGCGCCCTGCGCAGGCCGGTGGTGACCTCACGGTTGCGCAGGCTGTAGATGAGAGGGTAGAGCAGAGGCGTGATGCTGGTGTAGACCAGGGCCAGCGTGCGGTCGCGCCGCGGGGCGTAGGCGGTCTTGGGCCGCACGTACATGTAGGTGGCGCAGCCGTAGTGCAGGAAGGTGACTGCCAGGTGCGAGGCGCAGGTGGAGGCGGCCTTGTGGCGGCCCCCCGGCGCGCGCAGGCGGCGCAGGGCGGCAGCCAGAGCGCCGTAGGAGGCCAGGATGAGCACGGAGGGCAGCAACAGCAGCAACAGGCAGGCGCCCAGCAGCGGCAGCTCGTCGGCGTACCCGCGCGTGCAGGCCAGGTGCAGCAGCGCCGTCACGTCGCAGAAGAAGTGGACCAGTAGGCGCGGCCCGCAGAAGGGCAAGCGGAAGACGGCGGCCACCAGTCCCAGCGACACGACCAAGCCGCCCAGGCAGCAGGCCAGCGCCAGGCGCCCGCACAGCGCGGGTGTCACCACGGCCGGGTAGCGCAGCGGGTGGCAGATGGCCACGTAGCGGTCATAGGCCATGGCGGCCAGCAGGAAGCATTCGGCGCCACCCAGGCCCACGAAGAGCTGCATCTGCGCGGCGCAGGCCACCCGCGAAATGGGGCGCCCGCGCGCGGGGCCCGGCGCCGCCAGGTCGGCCAGCGCGCGCGGCACCACTACCAGCGTGTAGCCCAGCTCGATGGCGGACAGTTGCCCCAGGAAGAGCAGCATGGGCGGGCGACGTGGGGCCGCGGCCACGGCCGCCAGGATGAGCAGGTTGCCGGTCACCGTGGCCAGGTGCGCGGCCAGTAGTAGCAGGAAGAGCTGCGGGCCGCAGGCGCGGGAACTCGGAGAAGCCCTGCAGCAGGAAGCCCTGCGTGCTGGCGTTCAGGGCGCTGTCCATGCGCCCACTGGGCACCACCTGGGGTTGGAGCTGGACCTGTGGGGGAGGGACAGGGGGCGCACGGTGAGATTAGAGCCTGTTCGAGGAGCTGGGTCCCCGAGGGTATGTCCCCTCCAGCATGCTTTCCTGTCCCCAGGAAGTTCTAGAAGAATCTGGGCCACCCACTCTCCCTCTGCCCCTGGGACTTGGGGTTCCCAGGACTGCTCTCTCAACACCCTCTTTCCAAGAACCCAGCCTTCTTGAATTTTGCTTGAATGCCCACCATGCTGATCTTGGATGCAAGTTTGCTTGAATGTCCTCAATGCCCCCATGGTGGGCCCAATTCAAAAGCAAGTCGGGTCTGTACCACCCACTTATCTCCTGGGCCCTGCAGCCCCACCAGGGTCAAGACTGCCACAGGACCAGCTCCCCAGGCCAGCAGGACTCTGTAGCCCCTGCTTCTTTGTCCCCACCCCCTCCCACCCTTTGCCTCGCTACCATGGCAGCTGTTCTCCGTGTGTCCCCGGAGCCCAGGGCCATTCCCTGCACTCCCTAACTTCACAGAGATGCCAAAGGCTACAGGGGCTGGGCGTCTGGCCCTCCCAGGAAGCCAGGTCTGTGCTTCAAGGCCAGACGGGGCTCCAGTCGGAGGCTCCGGTGGAGGCCAAGAACAAGCCCGGGGTCGACCAAAGGACCACACTCAGCAGCCTTCCGAAGAAGACCCTTTGGTTAGGCCCCAGGCAGTCGCCAAGCTGGTAGGAGTGGCGGGCAGGACGGCCTGGGCCTGCCATGGAGGACAGCCCAGCTCAATGGGGACAGTCTGTCTCTGACGTGGTAACACCTGGAGAGCAGGAGAAGCAGGTTGCGTCAGCTGCAACCCGTCCTCCAGGGGAAGCAGCACATTCCACACACAAGTCAGATCACAGCTCCCCTGGAGCATGGCTGCTGGTGCGTGAGTCGCCCGCAGCCACCTTGGGAGAAGCATCCCGAGGGGAAATGTTCCTGAGAAGGAGGGAGAGACGAGGCCGTGCCACTGGAGGGAACGTTTGGCCTCTTCCAGTCCACACCTCCTTTAGGCCCTGTCTCTTTTGACACGTGCTCATGGCAGGAGTTGCTTACGTCTTTCGTCTTGCTCACTTGCCTCTCTGTTCACAGTCCGTGGGCGCCGAGAGACGTGCTGTTAGCTGTTCAGCCGCAGAGAGTGATGGCGGTACAGCCGGGTCAAGGGGGGAAAGGTGAATGTGTTGGAAGACCCAGGAGGCCCCGCCGAGTGCTGAGTCTCAGACACCTTGGCCCCTGCTGGAAGGAAGGGTCCCAGGGGGGCGGCTCTCACTGCCATCTGGGTTTTTCCTGTTCGTCTGAGGAAAGTCCCTCCTGCCCAGTTTTCTGTCTTAGGAAGAAGGGTCGGTGGATTTGGGTCTGAGGGAGCTGTCCTGGCTCACACCTGTCGTAGAATACAGATGCTTTACCTTTTTTCAACTGGGCCGATTGCCACTGTACTGAGCACTTATGACCAACCTGCGGAGAGGGCCTCTTCCCTGGTCCTCCGTGGCTGTTCTGGCTCCAGGTGTTTGAACCGACTTCTGTTGTCTCTCTTACACCCTCCCCTTCAACACCCTTCAAGAGTGGAGGTTGGGGCCGGAGACGAACCGTTGCTCACACTTCCCAGAAGTGTGCAGGGGCAGGTCAGGTGGGCTGGCACCATGCTGATGAACCTGGGATGGGATTGGGTACTCCATTAGGTTTCCACAATGAGGCTGGCTGCAAAGCCAGCCAGGGAGCTTTGGAACAGGAGGAGCACCCGGAGGGTTTCTACTGTGCTTCATGGGCTTAGGAGAAGCTGTCACCCTCCAGGAATCTATGGTAGACATGCTGAGTCTTTGCAGTGGTGGGGTGGGAGGGGAAGCACTTTCCAAATAGTGAATGCTTTGGTCTGTTCAATGCCCACCTCTGCGGCAGAAGGAGAAGCTGTGTAGAGAGACGAGAAACTGCTCCAGGTTTTGTCAAGCCCTCATCGCAGGGACAGAGGGCAGACTGCCCCACCTTGCAGGTGGTTAACAGCCTCACAACAGTAGCTTAGAGAGGACCCTGGGTGGCCCAGATGATGAAGCCATCCATTGCTAACAGAAGGGTTACCAGAAGACAGGCCTGATAACGTGCTTGTGAGAGGCCCCAGCCTTGAAAGCCCTGTAGAGCCCAGGGGTGGCCGTGAGCCAGGACTGACGTGTGGGCCACTAGCAACAGCAACAACAACAGGGAGTGTCCAGCAAACCGTCCTAAGCACGCTAAACCCTCTAACTAGTTTCATCTCAGCAGCAACCAGATGAGATGGGTGGACCCTTATTACACACAGCTCATGGATGAGGTGGCTGTACCCTTATTATGCCCAGCTTATGGATGAGGTAGATGGACCTTTATTATACCCAGCTCACAGATGAGGTAGATGGGCTCTTATTACACCCAGCTCATGGATGAGGTAGGCAGACCCTTATTATACTCAGCTTACGGATGAGGTCGGTGGACCCCTATTACACCCAGCTCACAGATGAGGTAGATGGGCTCTTACTACACCCAGTTCACAGATGAAGACATTGAGGCTACAAGAAAGGCAGTGGGAGGTAATTCCCAAATCAGACTCACTGCCATGGAGTCAATGGAGACTCATAGGGACCCACAGGACAGGGTAGAGTTGTCCCTGTGCATTTCCAAGACTGTCACTCTTTACCAAAGCAGAGAGTCTCACCTGTCTCCCACAGAGCAGCTGGTGGTTTTGAGCTGCTGACCTTGTGATCAGCCACTGTACCACCAGGGCTCCTTTATGGTCCATCAGAGATAAAGCCAGACAGCCCAGCTCCTGGGCCCATAGTCTTTCCCACCAAATAATCTTCCTTGTGAAAGCCTCTCCCTAGACTTCTTTCCACGTAAGACACCTTGTTCCATCCTCACATTTCTTGCCACCTGCCCCAAAAGGATCCCAGTCCCTGGCCATGTCTGTCCTCTGGGATCCCTTCCTGGCATTTGCCATCAGTCTGCAGGTTGTGTGGATGGCCACTCATGCTTATCGTCTCAACAGCGTGTCCACAGACAACTGCTCCATAGCTCCAGCTCTCCTTGTTCTAGGATGCAGGATCCTCCCTGCGTGAGCCACGCAGAAAAAACAGAGCAAGGCTGGCTGGCTGCCCGGGGAATCTGGCTGTGGCTGGGAGGCTGGTTGGAGGCTGGGGTGCAGCACGGGCTATTCAGACTTCCTGAGACTGTCTGCCGGAGAGATGCTCTTTCACATGGCCACTTCCATGGTGCATGGCGCCCTCTACGGAGAGGCTGTGAAGTGAGGAGTGTATGACGCCCCTCCAAGTGGGCAGAGGCCACGGAGCACTGGGCTGATGCACAACTCAAAGGCTGTCTGGTCCAGGTCCCTCGTGGTGCAGCTGCAGTGGCCCGGAGAGAAGGGTCAGCTAGTGTGGGGTCCACAGCTCTCTCAGAGCAGCCCTTGGGACTCCTGCTTGCATGCTCCTATTTCCCCAAAACGTGTCTTCAGAGTAGACCAGAGCCTCGTGTGATGATAGTTTGCAGAAGCACCAAAGGAGAGGCCCTGGCAACATCTGGTCATGGCCCCACGGGAGGTCAAACTTAGATCAGAGTCTGTCTGATTTCCCCGACTTCACTCAGTTATCCGCTAAGGGCCGCTAGGCTCTGGATCTGTGCAGCATTGTTCCGGAACTCCCTTTCCCTCTGTGCTTCCTTCCGGGAATCACACACAGTGCACACAGAAGGCGGCATGTTCGTCTGTCAGCATTCGCCCTGGGTGCAGTCGAAGGAGTCTCGCAGTTTAGGTCTTGGCTTGGTTATTTGCTGAATGCTTGATTTGGGATGTGTGAGTGACCTGTCTCTCCCCACATCTTAGAGTCCCCTGTTGATGGCGAAAGGGCAGAGGGGCGCTGTGAGGGTCGCTGGGAGGCTGCACGCAGCAGGTGCCCATGGACACAGCAGTGTGTTCTTACCTGGCCTCCGCTCCTCACGGCTGGATGGCTGTCTGTCCCTTGGGAACCTGTCCTCATCCTGGACTTTGTGGCCTCAGGGGCTTTCCAGTGCTTCTCCTGTCTTCCTGAGGAGGCTCAGGATGTGGAGTATTTTGGATGTGGGACCTCAGGGGGACAGAAGAAATAAAACCATTTGCCCTCGAGTCTGCTCTGACCTCAAGGCCACCTCATGCGTTTTGTCCCAGAGCTGTGTTCTGTGGGGTTTCCAGTGGTCGGACTTTGGGGAAGTAAACTGCCATGCTTTCTTTCAGCATCGCTCCGGGTAGAGGGAAACCTTCAACCTTCCCGTCAGCAGCTGTGCACATTAACTGTGTGTGCCTGTCAGGGACTTGTAAGGAGTCATGGGCATTGATAATACTCACTCTGTTTCTGCCTATCTCATCTATCAATCGATTTATCTTTCTGTCTATTGGTCTGTCTACCTATCTTTCTATCATTTCTCTCCCTGTCTCTCCATCCACCTACCCACCATCTCATCAATCTATTTCTGTATTTTGATTGTTCCACTCTTGTTCTCTTAGCATGCCAGTGGTCTAGATGAGGATGTGCAGATGGGAAGAGCTGCTCCTGGGTGAACATTCTAGTTCAATCACTTACAAGTCTCGTTGACTGTAGAGACTCAATTTCCCCGACCTTCAGTCACATTTACATCTAAATGGAGACAAAGATACGTACTTCTCAGAGCCCAGAATTGGATGGACTTTAAAGAAAGCCCACAACCCAGCTCCAGGCACAATGTCGGCAACAAAATATGGTTACGGATGCTGTCATGGTATGACCACCCCTTCTACAATGTCCCAGGCCATACATGACGGTCAACTAGAGACTTATTAATTTACTTATTTGTGTTCTTAGACATTTCAAATGTGTTATCTGAAGGCAAATCCCTTGAATGAAAGCTCAGTTGCTAGCACTCAGTGCTGTGTTTGAATCTATCTGACGGTTCCTTTAACCAAAAGAACGGAATCACATCTCTGGATT